AATTAATTGGCTATAGGTCTTAGGAGAAGGACCAAATGGTCCACCTGTAACACCACCTGTCACCTTCTCTCCAGTCACACAGTCACTACCCTACATTCATACCCTTGTCACCTCTCACCTGGCCTATTGCAATAGGACCTGACTGATGACCTTGCTTACAGTCTTTTCCCTCTCCAATCCAACCAATCCAATCCATCATTCAGTATGATCCTGAGGGTTGAGAGACTAGGAAACTGGAAGGTGGTAGTACCTTTAACAGAAATAGGAGGGCATAGTTTAAGGTGTCAGTGTGTGGGACAGGAGGCTCTCTTAGCATGAAGGAGAACCTAGTCCTAAATAAAACCCAAATCAGTTTCAGGGAACCCAAAACGAAGTGAGAGCAGAGGCCCCAAAGACTATCAGGGCCCATGCCCCTTGATTTGCCTGACCTCATTCCCTCTTGGCATCTAAGCAATGAATTGAAAAAGCAGTTTTCAGAGAAGGAAATAGCTTACTAAATGGTGTTAAGAACAAAACAAAACAAAACAAAAATCTGAATTTGTCATCCAGTCAACTGGATCCAGTGATACCATCCCCCAGACAAAGCCCATCCATAAATGATGGGGTTGGAAAGGATGATCTCTAAAGTCTTTCCTAGATACAAATCCTATACCCTCTTGACTCCCCCCACCCCCATCCAGGCAGCTTTTGGTATTCATTTTACCTTGCATTTCATTTGTATGCCAATGTGAGTCATCCAATACAATTCCCTACCTGAAACAAGATTCTGCTCCCCATCCTCAACATGTAGTCATCCATCCAAGTTTCTATTTAAACACTCCCAGTATCTGGGAGCTTAGCACCTAATAAGACAGCTTGATTCATTTTCAGAGAACTCAAATTTTTCAGAATCCTTTCTCCCTCTACACTCCCCCCCACCATTTTTAATCACTGGAAATCCTTTGCTGTACTCCAATACCCCTCAAAAAATTTCCCCCAAGAGGTCTAATCAGCAGAGGCCTAACTTACATAGAAAGGAAGTGAGCCACCCCCTGATTGCTGACCCTGAACCACCCTGCTTCCCATTCTTACAGACATCATATCCATTGCCCCAAATGTCCAAATATTGTCTGACCTGGGTATCCAGCCCAGAGGTCTTCTGTGATCAGAATGGATGTGGCTTAAGCTAGCCTCAAGGTTTGTCAGGTGCCTTTCCATTCCTTACCCCACAAATGAATTCCCATCTCAGCCAAGGAACTCCCAGTTAAGGCCCTGGGGCCACCCAGCAGTCTTGTTTTTCAGAGATTTTGTTTAGGAAAAGATCTTGGAGGAACATGCCTATCTGTCACCCTCAAGGCAGGGAGGAATGTCAGTTCTCCTGGCTTAGGCAGCTGGCCCAAGAACACGGTGGGGTATAGGCAGAGGGACACATGAGGGAATCTTTATTAGGCTGCACAGAACAGCCTGTCCTGAGGGATAGCAGCCAGAGATCCAATCCTGGAGTGTCTTCTGTTCAGCCACAGATGGAAGAATGTTTACTCCAGCAGGGGGTGCCAGCTACGAAGAAACTCATCCATACGTGGGGGCTCAAGCATTCAATTTCATACAACAGCTACTCTCTGACACAGAGGCACCTGTGGAAATGGAGACACAGTTGCATACAGACTAACCGAGGAGTGCATGCACAGGATTCCTTCTCTCTTTCCTTCCTCACAATTCGTGAGCATTTTGTATATAAAATAGCACTCTGTACACACAATTCATAAGACTCACACTTGCATGGTTTTTATATGACTAGTTTCTCTCTCTCTCTCTCTCTCTCATTCCTTACCTTACACATAACACCCCCCCCACACACACTCTCAGAGTTAGAGGCCATCTTGGTCCACACTTCACAAGAATCCTCTCTATATAATCCCTCTCCCCTTTCTAGCTTTCTTTTGTGTGTGGTCTTCCCCTGTTAAATTATAAGCTCCTTGAGGGTAGGAACTGTTTTTCTTTTTCTTAATTGTATCTTCAGAATTTAGCACTGTATGTGGCACATGGTAGGTGCTTAATGAATGTTTTGAATTGAATTGAAGTGGTCATGCAGCCTCTAAGTTAAGCGCTCTAGTGAGAAGAAAACCCTTTCTCTTCTAGGTAGCTCTAATTGTTAGGAAGTTTTTCTTGATACTGAACTAGAAGCTGTTTCCCTCAGCTTTTTCCTGTGGCTACTAGCTCTTCTCAGGAACCCAACAGAATCAGTCTTATCTGTCTTTCACAGATCACGTGTCACCTGTTCAAGTATTTGAATGATTCATTGTAAGTCTTCTCCAGGCTAAACATTCAGGCAACAACCTAATTGTAATAATTGACATTCTTATTATGTTTTCTAGGTTATAAACTATATTTTTCTTATTTGTCACAAGGATACATTCAATTAACATTTATTAAGGCCCTACTATATGCCAGGTATGGTGTAAGGTAATAGAGATGCAAGCACAAAAATGGAGTAGTCCCTGCCCTCAAAAAGCTTATGCTCTACTTCATATGGTAAATTTTATTCATTAAACACAACATTAGGACATGGGTAATACCTTTATTCATCTTTGTACTGCTTTGGTTCCTAGCATTGTATTTTATTCTTAAAGCATGTAACAGATATTTGTTGAATAAGTGATTCAATGAATGTGAATGAACAAATTTGTTAAGTTGGTAAGGTAGATAGTATCATGCTCATTTTACTGATGAGACTTAGGTAAACTGGGTAGCCCAGGGTTACACAGTCAATAAGTAGTTACCCCCTTCTTTTTTTAAATAATATTTTATTTTTCCCATTTACATATAAAAATTTTTTAACATTCATTTTTAAAATTTTTGAGTTCCAAATTCTCTCTCTCCATCTCTCTCCTCCCCTCTTCCTGAGGTGGTAAGCAATTTGATATAGGTTACACATGTGCAATCATGCAAAACATTTCCTTATAAGTCATGTCGTGAAGTAGTTACCCCTTCTTGATGAGACTAAGTCTCAATATAATGGTTCTCTCTCTTTCCCAAAGCTTTCCACTGCATAGAGTTGGCTCAAAGTGCCATAATGCACATAGTGCTGGGCTTGGTCAGAAAGATTTGGGTTGAAATCCAGACTCAGACACAGCTAGTAAGCTCTGTGACCCTGGACAAGTCATTTCACCTCTATCTGCCTCAGTTCCCTCAACTGTAAAATGAAGATCATAATAGCAACTACCTCCCAGGGTTGTTGTGAGGATCAAATGAGATAATAATTATAAAGTGCCTGGCACATAGTAGGTACTTAATAAAAACTGTCTTCCTGTGAACCAGAGCATTAGGAGGTATTCTTATACCTTTGAGCCTAGGAGAGGACTCTAGGCCTTGGGGAACATTCCATTCCTTGTCCACCCCCTCTCCCGCCTTCCTTCAGTTTCTTCGCATTACATAGAGCCAACAGCTTTAGTCAGTCTATCAAGGTTTTGTTCCATAATATATGGGCAGGGAGAATGAGGAGGGAAGTTGGAATATGTAGGATGGGGAGTCTGGGCTTGGGATCCCCTAACCAGCTGAGGAGAAATAAGGAGGAAAGAGGCTATGGTCCTGAGATCCAGAACCCACAGGGTGTTAGCTTGAGTGCATGGGTGAGAAAAATGAAGACAGGATATTGTCTAGGTTGAAGATCTGCCAGGGAAATGGGCATAATGAAGGAGGTAGGGGAGACAAGGAGGTTCCATGGTATTCTGCTTTGGTCAGGCACCTAGAATATTATGTTCAATTCTGGGTGAGACATTTTAGTAATAATATTGACTGACTGGAAATGGATCAAAGAGAAGAGACCAGGGTGGCGAGGGGCTCAGACACCATAGTTGCGCAAAGACTGATTGAAAGAACTGGGAATATGTATGTTGGAGAAGAGGAGACTTAGGGAGAACTTGATCACTTGTATTCAAGCATTTAAAGGGTTGTTATATAGAAGAGAGATGAGACTTGTTAGGCATGAAGGTCAATGGCAGGAAGTTTCAGAGTTAGGTCTTAGCTCTATATAAGGATAAAATTATGAGCAGTTAGAGCTGCCCATCAATAAAATGGGCTGTCTTGTGGGGTGGTGATCTGAGTCACCACCATTATCATCATCATCATCATCACCATCACCACCATCATTATCAACATCACCATCATCATCATCATCATCATCATCATCATCATCACTACCATCATCATCATTATCATCATCATCATCATCATCATCCTCACAACTGATACAGAGAACTTTAAGGTTCACAAAGCATTTTATATACAGTATCTCATTTCATTTTCACAACAAACCTGTGAAATAAGAACTATATATAGGTAGTGAGGTCCCCATTGTGAGAGATCTTCAACAGAGTTTAGATGACCACTTGTTGGGATTGCAGTCGAGAGGATTCTTGATTTAGGTGAAAGTTGGATTAGGTGATCCCCGAGTCCCCCTTTGACTCTAGAGAGTCCGTAAGTCTTATGGTTTGTCTGCTCAGTTCTTCATTTTCCTTTCCCCCACCTTATCTCCTATTCCTTCTCCCCCACCACATTCCTTTCCTTTTCTTTCTACAGTTTACATCAGGCTTAAGTGAGGAGGATAGAATGGGACTCAGATAATCTCTTCTCTGAGAGTGTAGGCTAAGGTTGGGGGGAGGGGGTTGGTGTGGGAGAGGCTTCATAAACAGGAGAGTTAATGATTAGCATGAAATCCCTGAGTAAGGAAGAGTGTGGGGGGTGAAGGCTGGAAGGAGGATAGGAGAAGGGACCCTGTCCATATTCCCCCTTCTGCTGCCCCCTCCCTTTGCTATTACACAGGCAACCCGAGCTGGGGGCCTAAAAATAGCCCCCAGGCGAGGCGTAGCCACCAGCCGCCCTGGTGACCTTCTGGGTGGCACAGGCCGGCAGAAGACAGGGCTGCTCAGGCCCACTGGGGACTCCTCCTTCAGGGCTCCACTCCACCCAGGTGCTCCTGTGGGCTCCAGGGTCTCCCACCCTTCACCCCCTCTGCAGTAGCCATGCAGAAAGCCCGGGGGACCCGGGGAGAATCTGTCAGCCCAAGGGCACCCCCCAGCCCAGGTGTGCCCCCAAAGAGGGCCAAGGTGGGGACTGGGGCTGGAGCTAGGACTGGGGCTGGAATTGGGGCCCGGGGAACAACAGCGGGAGCCCCAGTCTTCCTTCGGCAGCTGAAGAACACAGCAGTTTTCTCTGGCCGGGATGTGAGGCTGCAGGTGGCGGTGAGTGGGACACCCCAGCCTGCCCTCAACTGGTTCCGAGGTGGGGAACCCCTTCCTGATCCATCCCCAGACCCCAGCTGCCTTTGGCTCCGTGGCTGCAGGGCCCAGGATGCAGGAGCATACACCTGTACCGCCAGGAACGAGCAGGGAGAGGCTTCCTGTACCGGGGTCCTGACCGTGCTGGAAATGGAAGGTAATGGTATGGAAGGGGGAGGCAGCCAGGGAGGAGGAATAGATCGGTAAACAGCAGGCAGAATGAGGCTGGAGCAAAGGGAGGCTGCCCAAGCAGAGATGAGGAGCTGAGGGCATCTGAAAAAGGCAATCCCTCCCACAGCCTCTGTGGCCCCCGGGTTATTTTCTTTCTTTCTTTCTTTCTTTCTTTCTTTCTTTCTTTCTTTCTTTCTTTCTTT